GGGGGGCCCCCCCCCCCCCCGAGTGCACAAATTTTTGTGCACCGGGCCTCTAGTATATAATAATTATTAGGCTTGTGTATATTATTATACCTATCTCAGGATTGAAATGAGGGTTAAGTGAGATATTCTTAGTGCTTACAACAGAGCTTGGCACCTTCTAAAGGCACAAATATTATATTTTTGTGCACCGGGCCTCTAGTATATAATAATTATTAGGCTTGTGTATATTATTATACCTATCTCAGGATTGAAATGAGGGTTAAGTGAGATATTCTTAGTGCTTACAACAGAGCTTGGCACCTTCTAAAGGCTTGACAAATATTAGCAATACACCCTCCCTTTCTCCAATGCTGGCCTAGTTTTTCCCCTGCTCAGATGGGTTTTGAAAAGAAAAATTATTAATATGTTTAGAAAATCCTAAAATTCATATTTGAAGAAAACAAAATGGAATTATTTTTCAAAGACAGCCTCCAGCTGGCCAGAAGCACTTCGTCATCTCTTACAAAGATGAGTTAATATCTATCACGCTCTCATCCGGAATGACTCACAGTGACAGCGTCTCATGTCCAAGGGTGAGTTTGAAGTGTTTCTCCCGTCATTTTTTACTGACGAAACTCACCATTAGGTGGCAGCCACGCCAGAGTTCCTCAGAGAGAGCAGCCTGACTCTTGAAAGCAGGGCCACTTGCAGAGGCCATGCTGCTCAGAGGCAAACATCTGACTCATCCCGGGAGTGTTAGCTCAGAAAATGGCAAGGGCTTATTTAAACAGTGTGTGAAATATAACATCTCTGGGCCCAGAGTAGTACAATAGATATGGTAAGCCTCAGTGTCATCGCCCCAGAAATAAAAAAATTAATGTGGTTGATAAATGAAGACATCAGAGCTTATAAGCTATTTTAGACACATGCTATACATTTGATTCCAAGATAATTAATTGATATTGCTAGCAACGTCACCAAGTCAGATGTCTCCCCTCCCTGCTTGAAAGCGTACAATGACCCCATTTGTCAACCAGTGGTGGGAGTAGGGGGTGAGAGACTGATGTCAGAACTTCAGTGGAGCGATCATGGTTTGAGAAAGCACATACAATACTCGCTTCATAATACACTAGTAAACGCAGGAAAGTAAAGCTTGATGGAATCTATCCAGTGGCTATATGCAAAAGATAAGAGTGAAAAAGCACTGAAAGGACATGGATTTTTAAAAGCTATCGGGAGCACGGCATAATATTAACAACAGTAACGATAATTAGCACTTATCAAGTCCTTAATATGCACAGTGCTATCTGCCTTACTTACATGTTTTAGCTCATTTAGTCCTCATAATCCCCATGAGGTGGAAATTATTAATATTCCCATTTGACAAATAAGCAAACTAAGGCTCAGAAAACTTAAATAATTTGCCTCAAAGCATACAGCTAGAATCAGAGACAGTATTCAAATCTCGGCATCCTGACTCCAGAGAGTACAGGAAGTCTGAGGTGGTTGGCAGGACTCCTGAATGCCCTGCAGTTATTTTCCTGCATCCTCTTTTCCCAGGTGTACCCAGACCTCTTGGGGAACTAAGTTGCCTGCAGAAGAGCAGCTTCCTGGGCTGGCTGGACATTCCAGGAGCTGAGGTGTCACCAGAGGTAACATTGAAGGAGGAAGGGACTAATGGATAAACAGCTCTGTCAAACAGGTATTTGTGCCCTAGCCGGGTTGGCTCAGTGGAAAGAACATCAGCTTGTGGACTGAAGGGTCCCAGGTTTGATTCCAGTCAAGGGCACATGCCTGGGTTGAGGAGTCCTCCTCGGCCCTGGTTGGGGCATGTGCAAAGGCAACCAATCACTGGGAAAATATCCTCAGGTGAGGACTAAAAAAACAAACAAAAACAAAAACAATAAAACAGGTATTTGTCCACGGTTGAGTACAAAACAAGACATTTACTATTCCAAAGTGAAAGCCTCCAAATTTAGAAATCTCCAGCCCAAGTTGAGATTATTAAAATACTTGCTCTGAAAGCCTTGGGAATCTCTCTTTTCCATATTCCTTCTTTAAAGGGCAGGGCCCTGAGCTCACTATGCTCTCTCACATACCTAGGCTTTGCACATGTCCTGTTGGCCACTTGTCATCAGCTCAGACCTTGTTTCCTCTGCAGAACCTCACTGCCACCACCAGTGTTCCATGTGCTGTCTTCTCTGCTCCTAGGAGATTCTGCAGCAACTAGCACTGGACTTATCTGACTGCATTTACCTATTTTCTGCCCCTCCTCTGGACTATGAGCTCCCTAAGGGCCTAGATCTGCCCTTCTTCATCCTCAACTGCTCAGTCCAACCCAGTGCCTGGCACAAAAAATACACCATTCAGAATGTCTACCAGGTGAATAAGTTCTTAAATACCTGCTTGTTCTCAGGTTAGAGAGTAAAACACCTTCAGCCATAAAACTGGATCATATTTAAAAGCAGGAGCAGGCTCTTTGAAATCCCAGTTTTGGGCTCCTGGTCTTAGCTGCGTTCCAAGACAAGCAAGAGCCTGGGACACGCTAGATATCTATTACAGGGAATCTGGAATGCCACCCCAGGGGCTTCCTTAGAGCCTGTGGATACCTGACTAGAGGTCCCTGTCTGTAGCAAGGAGTCAGGGGGACGTCCCTCTGGCCCC